AACACTTCCCCTTTCATTGGGCCACGAAAGCTTCTTTAAAGCTTTCCGGCGCACCTCTCGGAAACCAAAATAACGTGGCCCAATAAAAGAGAAAGTGTCGGCCGGAGAGTGCAGGAGGCGAGTGTCCCTAGCATTGCTCAAGCTAATAATCAGAACATGGCCAACGGTACTACAAATAACCCCAAAAAAAGAAAAAAAAAAATCCAATCCCAGCATTACACGTGCGTGGTCGCACGTGAACGGGGGACCTTTCTTTGGCTCCTGGTTTTGAGGGCCTCCAATGGGCTATGAAAACCTTTTCTTATTTTCCACAATGACCTTCCTACCCCCCAATCATTACCACTTCCAAGGGGTGTTTCAGTAAACTCCAATGCCACGACAAAAGCCTCACATTTTGTGCCCATCTAAAAGTCGCTTTCGGCTGGCCCACCCATGACCACTAAAGTGGTTTCGGTAATAATTACAAGGCGACAAAGTCAATTTCAGAACCACCCGATTCATTACACGTAGCAGAGTCGACGGTGACAGACGATAGTGGACAAGGAATCTTTCGCGTGGGGCCCAGTCTTGTCCGAAAGATCAGGTCTCAATCATCAATAGCGACATAATGAATAGGGGTTATGGCCCACCTCATAGGGTGACCTGAGAAGAAATGATATTATTGGTGTTTTTTTTTTTTTTTTTGAAAATAGGCAATGGTTTATTGGTGTTATTCTATTCCATGGGCAGATACAATTTCGGTTTTCAACTTTTAATAATTTTGTGCCAAAGAATATACGGAGTGCAAAAGCTCATACAATTCTTTGCCCCAAGTCCCAACCTTTGGAGTTGTTACAAAAAAAAAAACCCTTAAAATTTTTTTTCTAATTGTACCTCAAATTTTTCTAATTTGATTAAATCCCTAATTTGATTCCTCAATTATTATACAGATTTTTTATTTTATTTTTAAACTAAAAATATTATTGATTTGGTTCCTACTATTTACCAATTTAATTTCTACTGTTTATCAATTTAACCTTAAATTGATTCTTTTATTAAAAAATAATTGACGTATTTGTTATTTAACGATAAAAAATTGTTACTTAACTATCGTATGTTACGTTAATAATGAGACTGATGAGAACCCCAAAGAGAACAATGAGACTCATAACACGACAAGGGATTTCTAAACTTCAGGAAAGCTAAATCAGGTTTATAATAGAACTTTGACCCGTTGTTTATGTCGTAACAAGAACCAAAGGTAAAAATCTTGACCCGTTGTCTATGACGCAACAAGAACTAGAGGTATAAAGTTGATTGACGCCACACCCTCGAGCGATTAAGAACGAGAATGATAAGTCAGGTTAAAACGCCACAAGAATAATCTTGATAAGTTTTGTAAAGTTCTGAAACGAACCAAAGAGAAAAGTCTCTCAAAATCTCAAATGCAACAGCCTCCTCCCTATTACAAGCCTTTTAATTAGAGAAAACGAATCCTAATCAGAATAGGAAACTAACACCCTAAGTCCTAAACCTAATAACCACAAATTGGGTTTCAAATAAGCGAATGTTCAGCCCAAAAATAATAGAAAAAACTTGAAACTAACTAAAAATAACCTAAAATAACATGAAATATCAATTTGCTACAAATTGCGGCAAAATTGTGCGATTTTGATGCAAACTGTGTAATTCTGTGTAAATGACCTCAACTAAGCTTCTCTTGAACCTAAATGATGTTTACCATGCCTTGATAATCATCCAAGCTTCGATTTGCTTATTGTATGTTGTTTTCAACCCAGATCTGCTCAATAAGGCCATTTAAAGATTCACGCATCTTCTTAGCTCTAGCTTGCGTGACTGGACCTACTTGGGTGTGTAATGGATCACATGACGTAGTAGATATGCTGTCGTTTTGATTCCCATCATTCCCTCTCTCCTCAAAACGATTTGTCCTCAAATCATCGCCTACATCAAAAGGAGAAAAATCAGAAACATTAAAAGTAGCACTAACATTATACTCACCAGGAAGCTCCAACTTATATGCGTTCTCGTTAATCCTCGCAATCACTGAAATGGTTCATCGCCTCTTGGTTGTAGCTTAGAATGCCTTTGTACAGGGAATCGCTCCTTGCGCATATGCACCCAAACCCAATCTCTAGGTTCAAATACAACTTTCTTGCATCCTTTGTTGGCTTGTTTTGCATATTGCTCAGTTCGTCACTCTATGTTTTGTTGCACCCTCTTATGCAGTTGCTTAACCACTTCAGCTTTCTTTTTCCTATCCAAACTAGCTTGTTTATCAATAGGTAATGGCAATAAATCCAAAGGAGTGAGTGGATTAAAACCATATGCAACCTTAAATGGTGAACAGTTAGTTGCTGAATGGATGCTCCAGTTATAGGCAAATTCAACGTGCAGCAAACACTCTTCCCAATTCTTCAAGTTATTCTGAATAATAGATCGCAATAAGGTTGTCAACGTCCTACTAACCACTTTTGTTTGTCCATCAGCTGAAACAAAATATCCTAAAAAGACAATATGATTTGTGCAAAAGGAATACTTTTTAAGGTTAGCAAACAACTTTTCTTTTCTCATAACCTCAAGTACCATTTGCAAATGCTCAATATGATCAGTTAAACTCTTACTATATATCAGAATGTTATCAAAATAGACAACCACAAATTTGCCAATGAAAGCACGCAAAACATGATTCATTAATCGCATGAATGTACTAGGTGCATTAGTTAATTCAAATGGCATAACTAACCACTCATATAAACCATGTTTCATTTTAAAGGCTATTTTCCATTCATCACCTTCCTTCATCCTAATCTGATGATACCCATTCTTTAAATCAATTTTAGTGAATATGCAAGAACCATGCAGTTCATCTAACATGTCATCTAATCTAGGAATAGGGTGACGATACTTTACAGTGATTTTGTTGACAGCGCAACAATCAACGCACATACACCAAGTCTCATCCTTCTTAGGCACAAGTAGCACTGGAACTGCACATGAACTCATGCTTTCTCTCACATGCCCCTTCTTCATGAGTTCTTCAACCTGCTTTTGAAGTTCTTTCGTCTCATTGGGGTTGCTTCGATATGCTGGTCGGTTCGGAATTGTTGCACTTGGAATGAAGTCAATCTGATGCTCAATTCCTCTTATTGGTGGTAAACCATTAGGGATGTCTTCTGGAAACACGTCCTTGAAGTCCTGCAAAAGAGATTTAACAACACTAGGCAAAGAATCATTAAGTTCGTTAGTGTTAAAATAAGCATCTTTATACAGAAGCACAAACATAGGCTGTTTTGCAAGGAACGCAGCCTTGACATCACTTTCTTTTGCATAAACACTCACTGATTTTCTCTCTTTGTTTTCAACACTCTCGATCTTTTCTCTCTTTTTTAACTATTTCTCTGTTTTTTTCTCTCTGTTTTTCATACCCTCAAGCTCACTCTCTTTTCTCAGCTTACTCTCTTTTTTCACTTTCAGTTGATCCTCATAACAAATGGTGCAAGAGTAATTGTTTTCCCCTCCAGGACAAATGAATAGCGATTTTTGAAGCCATCATGTGTTACCCTCCTATCATATTGCCATGGTCTTCCTAAAAGTAAATGTCCAGCATGCATAGGAACCATGTCACCAAGTACCTCACCCTTATATCGTCCAATAGAGAATGAAACCAAAACTTGCTTATTTACCTTGATTTCTCCACAATCATTTAACCATTTCAGCTTATATGGCCTTGGATGCTTTGTCATAGGTAAATTAAGCTTTTCAACTAAAACAGTGCTAGCTACATTAGTACAACTACCACCATTAATAATCACACTACATACCTTGTTTTTGACATGGCATCTCGTGTGAAATATATTGTCATGTTGTACTTCATCATCTTCTTTGGCTTGCACATTCAAAGCTCGCTTGGTGACGAGCAGTTCTCCATCAACAGCATATTCCACACCATCATTAGCATCTTCTAATGGTGGCATAGATTCATCATCAGACTCACCCTCAATTTCAATTTCTCCATCTTCTCTCAAGATCATTGTGTGCTTATTAGGGCATTGTGATGTAATATGCCCTCTTCCCAAGCATCAAAAACACTTAATGTCTCGGTTTCTGCCTTGCATACTGTCAATTTTACTCTTCTCACTGCTGTCAATGTCTTTTGACTTAGATGCTGAAGTTTTAGGCTTGAAAGCAGAATTTTCTTCCTTTTTGCTCCAATTTGGTTTCCAAGAAAATGAGGAACCTGGATTTTTCCCAGTTCTGGTGGTGGCACCTTTATGCTTGAGTTGCCTTTCTACTTTCATTGCCATGTGCACCATATCCTCTAATTCAACATAATGTTGCAGTTCCACCACATTATCTATATCACAATTTAAACCATGTAGAAACCGTGCCATTGTTGTTTCTCTATTCTCTTTGACATTCGCTCTAACCATTGCGATTTCCATCTCCTTGTGATAATCCTCAACGCTTCTGGACCCTTGAGTAAGGCCCTGTAATCATTGATAGAGATTACGGTAGTAGTGACTAGAAACAAACCGTTT